CATGAAGAAAGTGTGTTCATAAAGCCCCTCTTATAACCATACATGAAAGCCGTGCTGTTAAGAACTTTACTTCGTGATTTGTTTTCTTGGTTATATATTTCTTGTAAAGTTTTTATAAAGTTTCCCTTTGAAGATGAAAACCAGTTTCAGCTGTCTTATGAGAGAAAAATTGGTATGGGGGGAGAGGGGCAATCCTTCTTTATGCATGGCCTAAAAGGAAGCTGGAAGGGAAGGCTCTGTAGGTCTAGAGCCTCTCCTTAGACACGCCTTTAGAACTGTGACCAGAATTTTACAAACAGGAAATGAACACTTTAGTATATCCCACCCCTCATCCCACTCCTGCAGACTATCTCCATGAGGTCATAGGCAAGTACTTTACCTTCTCCTGGTCCAGCCCAGCCTTCCTCCAGAGGTGGAGGTGTGACTAACGGGGCAGTCTCCACTCCAGAGTATTGGTACCTGACAAAATAGATCAGGTCTTGTATGTTATCCAACGCCTTGGCTTCTTCCAACGGGCTGCTCTCTTTTGAGCCCAGGTCCCTATTTTTGGTCACTCGTGCATCAAGCATTTTCTCCGCCATACTTAGAATTAGTGACTCTGAGGCTCGGAAGACTTTGTCTAGGACTTTCTCCACGTTGTATGGCAGGCTGTCCCGATGCGCTGATCTCAGCTTTATCGACATGTCTTGGAGCAAGCCCTCCAGCTCATGAATATCGAAGTACTTTAGGAAACGATACAGGGACTGTTGGTCATCCTTGAGGAAGCTGTTTATGATAGGCAAGTCTTCCCTTATACTCTTGAGCACTATGTCAGGAATTTCAGGTGTAGCTCGCTGGGACAGGTCATCCCCAGGATCTTCAGCATCAGGCCCCTGGCTTTCTGAGTCTCCAAGCTCCTTGGTATCTTCCAGCTCCCCTTCTGAGATTTCTTCTCCCCCAGGGTCTTCAAGGCCCAAGGTATTGACTAGTTCCTCGGGATTGTCTTTTTGTAGGTCATTAGGATTTTTATTCAGAACAGCTTCCCTGGAGCTTGGAGTCTGGGCTGCTGTCTCGTCAGGAAGACCAGGGACTTGAGAGGGCCTCTGGGCTGTCATATCTGCTAGATGGCTTTCTTCTCTGTCCACCACCACACTACCTGACTCCTTGCCCACATCACCTGCCTCTTCAGACGTGGTTTCACTCTTTTCACCAGTCTCCAAAATCATATTAGCCACTTGTTTGTTTTTTTCAGTGTTAAGATTAAGGCTCCCCAATATTACTTTTTCGAAGACTTGAGAATTCATATCTGACCTCCCGTCATGACCGCTGGGGTAATTTTCTCTAGACTGCTGTGCGCTCACAGCATTTTCATCCTCCAGCAGCCCCTCTGGGGGATAGTCGTCTTCCTCCTCCTCCTCGGCATCTGGCCTTCCAGGTTGGACACTCAGCACTTTCGAGCTCTCAGCCTCCTGTGTCCTTTGTACAGCCTTGGGTGGCTCCGTATCTGTAGGATCTTCCCTGCCCTCTTCCTCCGGAAACCCTGTCTTCTCTTTCACATGCTTACTGACTACAGCAGCTATGTCTCGCGCTTGCTGCCAAGAGAGATTTCTTCCCGAAATAGGAACTTTTCCCTCCAGTTCTCTTGAGAAACCAGTTTCCTCTGGAGGGGAGAATCTAGGTTGATTCTGAGTTTTAAGACTTGGTTCTAGAAATCCCTCCTGCTGGCTGGCTTTTGGTCCACTGATGGAAACGTCTGGAACCTCTGTACTGTCTTTGGATGCATCAGGCTTATAATTTCCCATGAGTGGTGCAACACCCAAGGATTTGTGCTTGTTATTTTCTGTCACTGAACTCCCTGCAGCTCTGTGTACTAATTCACTCTCCAAGCTGTCTCTCTGGATCTCTCTGGTCTTGTCTTCATGGAGTGTTTCCTTTGAGATATGGATAACTGGTTCTTTTAGGCCATTTTCTTTTTTTTCAAAAACGGCTTTTAGTCTAAAGTCTTTGCCTTTTTCTGCAGATGGCAGAGGGTTGAGCTTGCTACTCTGAGAACGATAAGCACTCGCCGTTTCTGACTTGGCATCTTCTGATTCTGACTCAGGATGTACCAGGCCTCTCCTGGATTCCTGTATTTCCTTTTCTTCTGTAATGACAAGTTCTGGGTCTGTTTCTGAGTCCTTTACATCACTTGTTTTGGTCTCTTCTACAAAAAAATCATCACCTTCATCCTCATGGTCTGTATAGCCGGCTGTTGACCGTGGCTTCCTCTGATGGCTAGGTGAAACTGACACATCCTCCTCCTTGATAGATTTCTCTAAATCTCCCACACCCGTTTTTCCTTCACCTCCTGTGACAATAGAAAAGAAACTATCCCCCCAGGTTGTCAATACATCTTTATTGTCATCTCTGATGCCAGGAGGCAGAGTGGATTCAACTTTATCTTCTTCACTCAAGTTCGGATCCTTATCTGTTAAATATTTCTCTATCCCAGGGGCTTTCTCATCTTTGTCTGCAAAGGTTAGTAATGGTAGCTCATCAGAGCTGTCTGCGTTCTCCTCTTCCTCATCATCCTCCACTGGGTAATACTCAGCATCCAGCTCTTCATCGAAACCATCTTCTAATGAAGTGACCAATCTTGTTGCCTCATCATCAGACACAAGGGCATCAGCAGTTGAGCCAAGCTTGGTTTTCAGGTCAAGACTCATTTCTGTTTTCAGGACTTTGTAAGCATCTGTCTTCTCCTGCTCCACAGAGGTGGAAGAACTATTGCCAGTTCTGTTTTCGCTTCCTGGCACTTTTAATTTATCGTGCAGAATTTCTTCAAAAGTGTCCAATGAAGACTGCACTCCCTGAGTATTAGCTGCTAGATTGCCATGAGGATGGCTCTCCTGAGCTGAGGACTGTCTCTGCAGTTCCTCAGTTTTCTCTGAGAAAGCACCTTCTCCATCCTCTGAATCAGTTCTGACTGCCTTGGACTCAGGTGCAGGGTCAAGTTCATGGTCCTGAGACCCCTCAGGAGAGTTCTCTCTGTGCTGAGAAACTTCTTCGGCTTTCTCCGACTCTTTGGGTACAGAGTCCTCCAGTTCCAAAGATCCTAAAAGGTCTTCTACATCATAACTATTAAAATCATCTCTTCCTCCATCAAAGCAAACGAAGTCTGTCTCCTGTATGGGGAAAAGAAAGACATTAGCATCTCAACAAGCCAGTGTCCCAAGAGCAACTCTTATTCATACCAGCGATAGAGATAACACTTGATTCTAGGAGGGCTTTGAGCCAGTGCTGGGCCAGTATAGGTATGTATCAAGTTGGGAGGGAGAAGAACGACTCATATGACTGATGGGTTTGCTCAGCCCCCATCCCTGTATCTGTTTGGAAGATAATCTGTTCCCCCGTGCTGTCAGTTTCATGGAGACAGTTGGAGGCTTCCTGTTGGCCAGCTCTGGTTAGGTGAATCTGTCTTATTCTACAGTGCAATTATTTCTGCATTAAAAAAAAAAAACCAAAACCAAAAAGCTGGGTCATATTCTCTAAAAAGCACATCGAGTAAACAAACGAAGTCCTGATATTCTCCCTCTGCGCAACTTCTGTGTTTCTCGGTTTGTTCTGAACACTCAGTGGCAGTGATTTTTATTGTCAGCTTGACAGCATTGATAATTGTCTAGGAGACAGGCCTCTGGGCATGGCTGTGAAAGTTTCTAGCCCAGACAAGGGAACTGACAAGGGAAGACCCACCATAAACTTGGGCAGCAGCATCTAGGGGCCTGGGTGACATAAGAAGCAGAAAGCAACCTTCATGCCAGAATTCATCTCTCCAGCTGCTAACCACAGATGAGCAGCTGCCTTACGCCTCTGCAGACAAGACTTTCCTGCCATGATGAACTAACTATACCTCAAACCACGAGACAAAACACGCGTTTCTCTCCAAGTACTCCCGACAGCAAGAGAAAAGTAACAGACAGAAGGGGAAGGCGGCTGTCCTGTACTGGGCCTCCCGTTTCTAGTATCAGGATGCTCATTTTGTCAACAATCTGTCTGGGGAGCAGCAGGACCACACAGCTCTCTACCCTAGAGTCCTCTATGCCATACCTCTCTGCCCACCCAGCTACAAACAGGCAGGATTACCGGGCTGTGGTGTTCTAAGTCTTCATGGATTTTTGAATCTCTTCATTGGACTTGGAAATGTTTATCGGCCAAAAAGGCATCTTAGTGACAGAGTGAGAATTTAAAGCAGTGGTTCTCAACCCGTGGGGCTTGAACTGTTTTGAGGTCAAATAGCCCTTCCATAAAAGTTGTATATCAGATATTCACGTTACGATTCATAACAGCAGCATAACTACAGTTATGAAATAGCAACACAATAATTATATGGTTGGGGGTCACCACAACATGAGGAACTGAATTAAAGGGTTGGAGCATTAGGAAGGTTGAGAACCACTGCTTTGAGGGATGAGAATGGAGTCAGAGGGGTGAGAATGGAGCCAGAGGGTGTCAAAGTGTCACTTTCTAATATCTGGAACAACCAGAAAACATGGTTTAGGGGGAATACCTTTCAGTAAGTTAGAGTTCCTGGCAGCAGTTAGTATCTGTTTCTAAGACTTCATATATCTGGGTTCTTTCTTTCCCCACAAGCAACTGGTGCCAAAGGAATAACATACTAAGAAGAACATTAAAAGAACAACTAAGAAACTTGTCCCCAACCAAACTTTCACAATATTCTGGGGAGGACTGGTGACTTCTTCCCCTCATCACCAGCATTTCCGAGCCATTGCCTTAATGTCAAGAGAAGGATGTCATGGGAAGAGTGACAAGAGGGAACACAGAGTCTGTAGCAGGTGAGGTCTCTCTCCCTTCCTGCACAGTCTGTTAACAGAGAACCCCAACATGTAAAACAATATGATGACCCCCGAGAGTATAGAGGGCTGTGAAGAGCAGTGTCAGGTCTGTGACCAGTCCACAAACTCCCTTAGAGCTGCAGCCTCATGCCCTGCAGCCACCCGAAAGACATTAACTGTTGGCATTAACTGTTATGTTCCAAAGCCTCAGAAAAGAATCACTGGGGATGGGGATTCTAGGATGAAAAATCACCTCGGACACAAGAGCACCATAAGTCTGTGCTGTGGATAAATGCTCTGTAGAGGGAGAGCTAGACCCTTACAGACTTGAGACTGTACCTCACATAAAGCCCTTACATCGCCTTTCCAGATCTGTGACATAGGCCATTAGATTACTAGAGTCAGGGACAAAAAGCCTTTGTAGCAACAGGGTCTGCATACAACTTAGAGTTTGATTAACTGAGCCCACTTTCTATGTGTTTAAAATGCTTAGTACCCAAATTAGGACACCTCTTTCTGCTTGTAAAATAAAATTGTTTACCAATATAACTAAGTATAACAGTTTTTTTTTTCCTTTCTTGGTTTTTTTGAGACAAAGTCTTAAGTAGTTCAGGCTGGCTTTTTAAGTTCAGGCTCTTTAAGAGTGCATACTGACCCTGCCACTGCTTCCGCCCAAATACTAGGATTATAAGTGGGTATCATCGCACTTGGCTAAGACATTAAATCTTAACTTTTACATACTTTTAAAAAAAGGAGATATATCAGTCTACAGCCTATAAGAACATCAACTCCAATATATTAGACAATTCTCAGAATACATAATCTCCTGTAAATGCTTTTCAAACATTTCTTCTTTTCTAGTTAGTTTGATTCCAAATTCAAATCTGATGCACAAATGTTTTGTTTTTCCCCTGTCCAAGCATGGCCAAAGTCTTTCAGAAGAGATGACTGTACTATATAAGTACTGTCTGGGGAAATGCAGTACCTTTGCCTGACAGCATCTTAAACTGCCACCACCACCACCAGCAGCAGCAGCACGAGTTTTAATTTATTAAAACTGACGACTGTGGTAGGCAGTTTGTCACTGAGAACAACTTACGTCTGCTGGGATGTGTAGCTCTTCCTCCGTGTACTTATGAAGCACCTTGATCAAATCTTTTGGAAAATATCCAAAACTGTGTCCAACCTATGTGAAAAAAAAATGGGCAAAGGGGACAAATGTCAATCAAGTTCTGTATGAGAAATACAAAGGACGGCCTTCAGCCATGACGGGAAATACTTAGAGAGGCAAGGTATAAACAAGAGGAATAGACATTTGCTGTTAATAATTAAGCTGCAATGACTGTGCCGATGAAGATTAATATTGTTAAGCCAACAGGTCTCTAAGCCACAGCCATGTTCTTTCGTATATCACTATGTATAACATTAACATAGTGTTAGCATCAGAAGTAATCTGAGATCCGAACAAGAGAAGCTTCCTGCAGACTGTGTGGTTAAGACCTGATAAACCAAAACTGACTAGACACACAGTTCTAAATGATCTCTGGCCAGAATTTACGTGAGCGCTTGATAACACTGCTCCTCAGCCACGTCTAACAAGTATCCCTTAAATCAGTTCACTGCAGCCATGGAAATCAGTAGAAGCAAACAAGACTTCTCAAATGTGTGCGGCTGCAACAAACACTACTTAGCGAGCGATACCATGTGCTATGATAGCTTCTTCCAAAACCAGTGTTCAGAAGTATTTGGGGGCATTAACTAAAATTACGAACTAATGCATACTTACCTACTACTCAGGCTTCAGCTTTATGTAAAATCAATCTACAGAAATAACCCCAGTCTTTCTTAGCACTCATAACTAAGATACATAAAATGTGCATGTGTGAATAGAAGCTCCCTGTGAGAAACTGTCCTTCACTGGCCATGGTCTGAAACAAAGCAGGGACCAATTCCCAACCAATGAAGAAACAGACTGGTAGACAGACTGATAGGCAGACTGATAGATAGACAGACTGATAGGCAAGCCCACCTTATCATTAATTCTAAAGTCTCCCCATTCACTAGTGTTCTGGGTCTATCCGAAAACCATCTGGTTTGTTCATGTTAGCACTAGAACAAAGATTAGATAAGAAAGGGCATTAAAAGCTATGAGCCTAGCAGATAAACCTTGAGACTGTAGGAAACAAAAAACAAACAAACAAACAAAAAAGGCTACAGAATGAGAATTAAGATACTCAAACAAGTTATTCTGAAAACTAAGAATTGTTCGTTCTGGAAATAGTGAGATTCCCGAAATGAGAAAGAGACTGAGCAGAAATACATTTCCCTTCTGTAGGAAAATTCTACTGAGGTTGGCCATAGACAAGAGAAGGAATCCAGAGATACGAGAAAAAGGGAGGGGGCACTCCTCCGTAATCTGTCAATTGAGACTACAGCTCACAGAAAGCTCCAGGATCAGACTCTGGGTGCCACCCTTTCCTATTGTCTCAGGGAACTACAGGCCCTCACAGAGGTAATTCTTATCTAATCTGGCTTCTGTGTATCACCCCTGCCAAGGCACTGCTGACTTGATTTGTGGGTGGAGAGGATAGTGTCTGCCTTAGGAGGGCCACTTCTGCCTAAGGTACTTCAAAAACAAGTATAATTAAGTGCTATATTGCCCTGTAAAGAAACACTCAAAAAGATGGCAGATCAGACATGTGGTTTTTTGACTTGATAATGAGCTGAGACACCAGCTGGCAGGCAAGCAAAGCAGTAAAATGACTGTCACAGGAGCCGGGCAAACAGTCCCACCCAGGCGTGAACATAGCCACCAGCAAAGATCTCTTTCTGGCTGGATGCTGAAAGCAGGGTTTCTTAAGGAAGCAAGGTGAGGGCCGGGATGTAGAGTGCTTGCCTATTGCATATCAAGTCTTGGTTTGGTATGAATCACTACGCAAATGGTGCATACCTGTAATCCCAGCGTGGAGTGCCTTCCACGTGGAGGCAGGAGGATCAGAAGCTCGAGGCTAGCAGAGTAAGAACTCCAGAGGGAACAATATGTCTAGAGGAGGAGAGCTAACGGGCCGGAGGAAACCAGAAAGCCAGCTTATTTCTTCAGAAGCCCCAAGGCCAAATGAACACAAATGGACTGTGGACAAATGTAACACAGGCACATAGGAAGCAGCCCCGGAGTCAAGACTATGCAGACACTCACCTGGGAACCATGAGAAAGCAGCACAGACCCTTCCTCATATCTGTAAGGAAGCCTGTGAGAACCACTGGGATGCTGTCTAAATAAAGGGCTGTGCCCAACCTCTTGATGCTGTGAACTCCTCCAGAGGAGCTGGAATGCTGACAGAACAAGTTTTTTCTCCATAAGAGGTTGCTAGAACCTTGTTCTGTGTTGGTCATTTGGTGTTTTATTGAGAATGAACATTTGAGGTTGGGAGTTGGGGGTGTGTCTAAGCTGGAATATCCCATGGGTCATCATAGATCCTTTAGTCAACAACCTCCCATGTAACAGTCCTCTTCAGAGGAAAAAGACAACTCTCATGCTTCTCAGTCAGGTCCCTGCTGGTGAATCTGCTTCTTAAACTATACCAGGGCATGGTGGAGACAGCCAAGGTCAGCCATGTCTGATACCAAGAGGCAAAGAGTGTCAGGAACAGAATCCCAGAGGGACCTTCCAAGCACAAAGAAAGCAAGAAAAAGATACCTCAGAAGTTACAAACCCACCAAGTAAGAATGGACACAGTGAGCAAAGTGTCTCCCATTTTGTGTGTGCCTATCTATATGTGTGTATGTGTATGTGCATGTATGTGCAGGTCTGTGTTTGTACAGATGTAGGTGTGTGTGTACAGTTCAGTGTATGTGTGTGCAAGTGTGTGTGTGTGTGTGTGGTGCATGCGTGTGAGTGTATGTGTGTGTGTGTATGTGTGTGTGCAGTTGAGTCTGTGTTACATGTGTATGAGTATATGTGTGTGTGTGCATGTGGTTAGAATGTGTGGTACACATGTGTGATTGTATGTGGTAAACGTGTGTGTGCATGTGTGTGTGTGTTAGAGTATGTGTGGTACACATGTATGAGTATGTGTGTACATGTGTGTGTGTGTGTGTGTGTGTGTGTGTGTGGTATACATGTGTGAAGGCCACAGGACAACCTCACTGTCATTTTTCAAGTGCTGTCTACTTTGTGGGTTTGTTTGGGGTTTTTTTTGTTTTTCTGGGGGGGTGTTTGTTTTTTGTTTTTTTTTGTGGTTTGAGATAGGGTCTCACTCTGTAGGCCAGGCTAGCCTGAAACTGGCTACGTAGACCAGGATGGCATCAAATTCGCAGAGGCCTGCCTGCTTCCCCCTTACTCATGTCTCACCTTGGGTTTTTTCTCTCTCCGAGTAGATGAGGCTGGCTGGTCTGTGAGTCCTCGGGATCAGCCTGTCCTGCGCATCCCTGACTCTGGCATTATTAGCACAGCCCACGAAGCTTGGCTTTTAAAAGTAGGTTCTGGGGAGCAAACTCTGGTCCTGACCAAGCTATCACCCTAGCCCTGTTTTGGCTTTTTGACAGACTACTTTCACAGAGAAATGCCGTATAAAGTCAACTTTAACCCTGCACACCCGAAGCACTGTCTTGCACATGGCTTGCAAGATTAGTGACCACAAATACTCCTTTCTTGAAGCACGGGAAGCTTTTCAAGTCTTTGCCATTTTGACTTACAGTGAGTATACAGGCAACTTCCTCTCTAGCTGTGGAGCAGTAGCCAGAACCAGTTCAGTTCTGTTTCAGAAACCTCTGCCTTACCCCTACTGTGTGCCAGGCCTAAGGCCTGCTAGGACCACAGGGCTGCTTTCTGTTTACAGTCTAGGAGTGACACCATCGACAACCTCCACTAAAGTGATTTAAATCTGCAGTGCTACAAAAATCCAACAAAAACAAGAAAATAAAGCTTTTCACTGTTTTACTTACAGTTCCAGCCCAAACTTCAGGGAATCCTCCTGCTAGTTTGTAGTAGACATATACATCATCACCTTTTTTAAAATTCACAAAACGACAATCAGGGCCCGTGAAGTCTTCAAGAGCTTTACCACGGTACATCAACACTGCATACAGAAATACAAAAGAACAAAATAATATTAGGATGTTCACAGTCTCCTCCACACTTTCTAATTTTTTAAAGGCGGGGTTGCAGGCATCCCAAGCTGGCCTTAAACTTTTTTGGTAGCCAAGGATGGCCCCAGAGCTCCTCATCCTCCTGCCTTCATCTCTCCAGTGCCGGGTTTTGTGCATCTTAGGCAAGCATTACCCATCAGCTCTTAGAGATTTCTCAGGAAATCTCTAAGCATCCCATTGTAAACAATAATCAAGCCTTCCCAGTACTCTTCTGGAATTCATTTCAGTTCACATGCCCCAAGTGTCTAACGTCCCCAGACCTCACTGCTGTAAGTCACATCATCTCCTACAGTCAGATGAGGGAAACTTTCTGCTTTTCTCCTGGCTAAGCCTGAGGAACCGAAAACCATGTGCCCACTACCACGGATGGCTGCTCTCAGGTCAACTCTTTGTTTTCCTCTATGATCTTCTAGCCTACCCACCCACCCACCCACCCTTTTTTTTTTCCTGTTTCATAATCATAAAAAGCTTAGTTTGTGGATGTGTAAATGCAGGTGCAGGTGCTAACTGGTTTAAACATAGCTAACTGTGGAGATAACAGGGAGCCAGGAAGAATGCCCAGGAATCCCCAAGGGGTCAATTAAACTTGAACTAACCACTAACAGGCACTGCCTGTAAGTGGCTGCAACTGTTTCTTTGCGGCAGTAAACACTGCCAGTTTCATTTGTGGCTAAGTTGTTGTCTCTGCACAGTGTCTGGATGAGTTAACAGGGAGGCAAATTATCACATTCTATCAGAGATTCAATCAATCACAAGGCAGTGTTTTCTAAAAGCAAGTAACATTGATATCTCAGCATTAAGAATCACCTACCAGGCCTGGTGATGTAAACCTATAATTCCACTATTCAGGAAGCTGAGGCAGGGGGATCATAAGTTCAAGGCTTGACTGGAGTACAGAGGGAGTTCAATGGCAGCCTAGGTAACTTAGTACAAAGAGGACCAAAGATATAGCTCAATAGTAGAATTCTTGATGCTTGTATGCTATAGACAAGGCCCTCGGGTCAGTCCTCCAGTATTGTGTGTGCGTGTGCGCATGCACACAAACATGTATACACACACATACACACACACACACACACACACACACACACACAAATCTAAACAAGCTTTCAAAACAAATTTTTCTAGAAACAAAATTCAAGATGGGTATCTCATTTGTCAGGAGCCAAACAAAACTATGTGACAAGGTCAAAAGTTATTTTCTCATTTAAAATGCAGCTCTTTGGCCAGGCATGGCGGCATGTGTCTTTAATCCCAGCACTGGGGAGGAAGAGGCGGGCAACTGCTCAATGAGTTCTGGACCAGCCTAATCTCAAAGTGCATTCCAGGCCAGCTAGGGCTGCATAGTGAGACTCCATCGCAAACAAACAAATAAATAAATATAAATACAGAATTTCCATCACACCAACAGAAGCAGCATTTGCCAAATGAAATTAACAGTGCATTAAAGGGCAGAGACATGGGGTAATGGAAATGTGCACTTTGTCTAAAAGCCAATTAGCAATAGTATAAAAACATGTCTTTAAAATACATCTTCAAGGGACATGCATGCATTTAGAGGAGCTAACTTGGTTTTTAAAGCTAAAATAAGATTACTTTTAGGTATGCCAGCATCCTAATTCAGATGAGACTGAGCAAGAGGCCAGACTAAAGGAACTTCAGACTGCGGATTCTACTCAGGTTGGAAACAGCACTGTTTCTGGTTCCCTCCTTAGATTCTTGAGGATGTACAGTAACGTATCAAGGACAGCCAATCACTGATGAGTGACACGCACACTGAATGACACCTTTTCTGACACCTGACACCTCCATCACAAGCACTCCCTACCTCCAGCACACACCTGGGTCCTGCTTCTTCTATTGTCCCTTACATTTGTTTGGGCATGGGCCATTCCTCAAGTTACACTATAGCCCAGAACGCTTCCAACCACGAGGAGTCTCAGTTCTGAGGCAGCATCAGTGATATGGCCTTCCCAAGTTTTGAAGAACTCAGGTAAGACAATGCTTGACACCAAAGAACAGAAAACACTTGGCAATATTCAACAGCCAAATGGTGGTAGAACATGAAAGGGAGAATTCGCCATTGCGGCTTTACCTTCGTGGATTATTTACATTGCCCCTGGGTTCCAGCTAGGACCAAGAATCTCGGTGACATAAATTACAGGCACCTCCTTTTTTCTTTAATGGTATTGGAGTAAACCATTCAAGTTATGAATTTTGCTTTTTTTTCATAACACCAATTGAAATATAAATGGCTAACCTGCACTCTTCTTAGTCTTTTAGAATGAGTAATTTTCTGTATGTACTGCTTGTGAAGGACATCGTCAGTGAGTTACACAGTTGCTGGAGACCAACCTAAAAACAGTGTGAATTACTCTGGGCAGGAAAGGGTCCCAGCAACACAGGGGACTAAGGAAAAGGCTGGACTGACTCCTGAGACCCTTTTAGTATTTGTTATCACCGTTACAGTAATAGCCCTCTTCTAATCCTAACCTTCCCCCATGGCCCACCTCCAGCCCTGGCACCTCCAACCTAGGACGAGGACGCGACTGCGCACAGAGAAGAAGGCTGCGGTTCTCAGGTAGTGACAGGTGCAGCAACTTGGCCTCTTTAAGAACGAAAGATTTTGACCTTCCCGCAGCCCTACTTGGGAGCTGGCAAGAAGCTTCTATGCAAAAGAGCGACAGGACTGAAGGAGAAAATCAGGGAGACCTCAGAATACACGGCTTGCTTGGCCTCGGGACTCGTCCCAAACCTAAACTCCAGTTCCTCTGGTTCCAAAAGTGATGCGAGCCAAGAGGCGAAGAGACAGCGCCGGGGTGCCTTCTGGAGGAACCCCGCCGTCAATCGGCCGCTGGGATTGCGCTCTGGATCCCTAAGCGCGTGGATCTCGGTCTTGCGTGGACCCAGGTCCCCGCGGCTGGCGTTGAGACGCTTTTGGCTGCAGCATGGAGCACCCAGGATGCGGGGGCGCGCCACCCCATCACCCCGGGAGCCAAGGCGGAGATCGGGGGTAAGGAAGCAAGGAGATGCATCCTGGAAACCCGACTTGGTCTGCGGCGCCCCCAGCCCGGTCAGAGGAGCAGAGAGCAAACCCGGCAACAAGTGGTAGGCACGGCCTCTACGGCAGGGCTACCCGGGCGACTGCCGAGTAGAGCACATCCGCGTGGGCTCCGTGGGCCTGCGACCCCCTAGGCCAGGTGCGGGCTGTGGGACTCCGACCCGCGCGGCCACCACCGCCACCCGGGAACCCGCCGCCCGCCCCGCCATCCCGCACTCACTGCTGCACTCTGCATCCCCGCACACTTTGAGGTCCGAGAAGCGCCGTCCGGGGCTGAGGTCCGGCTGGCCCGGGACCCACCAGAGCGCCCCAAGCACGAACAGCCAGAAGAGCAGCCCCGGCGCCGCAGCCATGTTGTGGCCACCGCGGGCGCGAGTGACGCGGAGGCCGCCGGCGGGCGGTGCCGGGGGCGGGGCAGGAGAAGGCGGGCTGCTGCGAGTGACACGTCAGAAAGGGCTCAGCAAGAGATGCGCGGTGACTTGGAGGAGGCCTTGGCATCCCTTCCGAACTGCTACCTTGACAACCGTCAGAGGCACCTTCCCCTCGCCCAATCGAGAGCCTCGGCTCAGGCGCCTTCTCAGACGACCCTCCGCGTCACCGGGTTCGTCATCCGCATCTCAGCGCCAACCCAACAGGTTCTTTCCGTCTTCCTCCTTCAGCTTCGGATTTTTGGTCCATGCTAAACAGCCATCCCTCTTCATCATTTCTTCCAACTACTGCCTTTCGTTCTGAACCGCCAAGTCCCACACAGGACTGGCCACAGTGTGCAACTGATCCATGCACAACCCCCCACCCTGGCACACATACACTTCAGACTCCATAGGATTCTTTGGGACCTTTCACATGGATTCACATGGCCTTTTATTTCAATGGAGTCACATGGCCTTTTATTTCAATGGAGTAGTGGGTGAGACAGTAAATTAGAAAGTGGCATTCTAAGGTTGGTGGACAGTGGTCTTCTGCCCAAGATCTTCAGATTTATGTCGCTGTCCATAAAGGACATAAAGTCATTTGGTCTAGCACCAAAGTGTTCAATTCCATCTCCTTTGCCAGAACTGTAAGCCAGACACATTTCATGGCGCACCCGAACGCCCTTACGTTGCCAATAGCACTGTCTCAATCTTAAGGATAAATTCGGTGGTGTCTCTCCTTTCCTTAAACCTTCTTATAACTCCGAATTTCCACGTAACATGCAATGGCTTTACCACAGACTGCTCCATCTCTCTGTCCCTTTACCCTGTTTCCTGGCATTCTTCCCCTCCTCTGTTAGGCCCACTCAAACAGAGCAACCCCACTCTTTCCACACCTCAAATAGCTCCATAGGAGCTGTTGTTTATGTGGCGCTGGAGACTGGGCATGCTCAGTAAAGCGCTGAGCTACATCCCTGCCCTAATTTGTTTTGTTCCTTCCTGTTCCTCGGTGCCTAGGGAAATACCTGGGACTTGTGATGTGCTCAACAATGATCTGCTGTGTGAAACACGTTTCCCCTCGGATCACACTCCTGATTTAAACAGTCTTTAAACAGTCGCTACACCGGGCACTGAGTGCTTTCCCCTCGGCAGCATCCGCAACACCAGGAACAGATCTTCGGACACGTTGATTGTTAGATGGGAACACATCTGTCAGGGCAACTACACTCTCACTGCACTGTTTTCTGTTGTCCTGGATGCCACCAGGGTACAAGGGCAGGTCAGAGTGATTTAAACGTCGTCTTATTTCTACAGAATAGAATTAAATAACATACCATTGGTAGAAAAGGAAGGATAAAATAGCATGACATTTTTACTTAAGTAAACTTTTACATACAGGGTCAGTGTTCCTGTTACTGAAGAATACACTGCTTGGCTCAGGAAGGTTTTGCTTTTGAAATATATTTATGCTGGAGAGTTCAACGGCAAACTTAAGAGATGCTGCTGAAGAGGAAAAGTGGTTCTGGAAAAGGAGAGAAAGGAGGTGCAGCCTCTGGGAACGACAGTGCTGGCAAGAAGTCTCGGGGCCTAAAGGTGGTAGTAAGTCAGTAAAGGTCAGACACAGTCTATGTGGAAAACACGGGGAAATCATGGAAAAGTTAGAGTCTGGGATGAAATCCAGTGAGGTGACCGCCATGCAATATAGTGAAGACAAAGCCAGTCAAGGGGAGTGATTGGGATTGGGTGACCAGAGGATCCATGGTGGAGCCATTTCAAAAATTAGTATTTGCCTTGCCTGCAAGTGAGATGGATAAACCTGTGTTTATAGACCCAACAGTTAAGACAAAATTTGGATATCATATTATCGCAGTTAAAAGAAAAAAATAAAACTGGGCGGTGGTGGCATATCCCTTTAATCCCAGCACTTGGGGCAGAGACAGGCAAGTTTCTAAGTTCAAGGCCAGCCTGGTCTACAGAATGGGTTCCAGGACTGCCAGGACTACACAGGGAAACCCTGTCTCAAAAAAGCAAACAAACAAAAAAAAAAAAAGGAAAAAAATCACATGAAAGACTGAAAAAAAATGTATCTTTTGTGGGAATGCATGGCAGAGGTTGGAAGATGACTGGAAGAAGTAGTTCTTTCTGTCCTGTACTTCCGGTTCCAGGGATCAAAGTGACGTCTTCAGGCCTGGCAGGAGGTGCCTTTATTCACTGGCTCATCGGGTCCTGGAGGTTTAATTTATGTTTCTCTAAAACATGTATTTCTTTAAAGAGACACTAATCCATCTAGTGGATAATTAGAGAAAACTTCTCAGGCGACAACTGGGGTGGTAGTGGCAGCTCTTTCCCACCAGAATGTGTAACTAGTGTGTGACTAGGCTCTGTTGTTGCTCATGGCGTTTGAGTGTGTGACTCTGATACTTAACATAAATTCTAACCTATGTGCATTGTTCGCTAACCTCACGAAGGGGATTTTCACTGGTTGTGTAATAGTTAAAAGTGCACAAGTGTTGTCTGTGGTGGAAAGGACATAGAAATATAAAATATGGCAGGTTCTTGACCTTGGGAAATCTGATGTGTGAATGAGAAGACAAGATGAATATATCTGAAATAAGCAGAAGACAGTATTATAATACATATCATTGCAAATTTGCTCTGACGCCTGTCCAGAAGCATCTAGCCTACCAGTTAAATTGCCAAGAAGAATTGTTTTATATGAATAATGAAACTACTCAGTGTCCAAAAAGCAGTGACATTCACTGAGGGCTACAGCTTCTAGCGAAGACAAAGAAGTTAAAAACAGTGGACAGGGCTCAAGAGCAGAGTGGGCATCACAGAAGAAAATCCTAGTGAACTACAGAAGTGTTATAAACTCCCCAGAACAACACAGAAAGGACCCTGAAGAAATGAACCACCAGCACTCACAACTTAACCAGTCCAATATATGTGTAACTGAGGTCTCCAAAAGAGATGTATCAGAAAGTATGTGTGACGGAATCATGGTGGAAATGTTCTCAAACTGATGATCACTTACAGACTCACTTACAGACTCAGGGAGCGCAATACATCCCAGGATCATGAAGAATGACAAAACAATTGCCATGCAGTGAATGCTTAAAACCGGTAGTGAGGGAGAAAACTGCAGGGTTCTTAGAGCAGGTGCCCAGAGTACATAGGAATGGAGATAAAATGACAAAACTGGGTTGGTGGTGGCGCACACCTTTGATCCCAGCACTCAGGAGGCAGAGACAGGCCGATCTCTCAGTTCAAGGCTAGCCTGGTCTGCAGATCTAGTTCAAGGACAGCCAGGGCCACATAGAGAAAATCTGTCTCAAAAAAAAAAAAACAATTAGAAACCTAATTCATTCAGTCATTAAAAGTCTTTAAAATTAAAAATAACAAAATAGTGTAATGAGTTAACAAAGAGGCACATTATCACATCTTATTAGGACTCCAGTACATCACAAGTCAGTGTTTTCTAGAAGCAAATAACATTGCTGTATCAGTATTAAGAAGCTTTCATAATAACCAGGTCTGGTGATGTAAACCTGTAATTGTAATATTCAGGAGGCTGAGGCAGGAGGATCATGAGTTCAAGGACAGTCTGGGCTGCACAGTGAGACTCTGATTTATAAGACAAAAACAAAGCTGAGGTCTACAGACGTTGCTCAGTGGTAGAGCACTTGCCTCTGATATGAAAGGCCCTTGGCTTGTATCGTAGTACCTACCACAAACTAAAACAATAATAATAATATAATAATAATAATAATAACAATAATATAAGTGCCCTGGTTGGATAAAAGAAGGATGAATACATTTTAGACACCAAAAGAAAATTAATTGACACCTTAGATTTGTCTTTCAGATATGAGACTAAATCTATTACTGTAAAAGAATTAAAATGAACTTTTACGATTGACTACAGATGGATCACAGACCCTCCCTAAGTATAACAAAAGACAGCATAGGGGCAACTTTTAAATCAGGTATGACTCATGAGATGTGGCATTGAGCCAACCACATGCAACCAAAGAAAAATATATGTTGATGCAGCTCAAGTGTCCCTCTTCAGATAGAAAACACTGTTTCAGGATATTATAAAGGAAAGTGAAAAAACAGTGAGGGAAGAAAATAATAGCCATGCTGGCCCTTGCACTCGGGAAGTATACTCAAGAAGATAAAGAATATTAAGGCCCGCCTAGGCTACTTAGCAAGTTCAAAGCTAACCTAGGCGACATGAAAACCTTGACACAAACTATTTTTCAGAAGAAAATAAGTGCAATTCATACAGTTGTTAAAGGGTTTGTATCTAGGATGCATAAGCAATTCTTACAGTTCAATAATGGAAGACAACTTAGAGAATGCAGGAAGGCCTGTAAAGAGGCGAAAGGATACTCCGTGTCATGAGCCTTTAGAAATGTGAGACAGAAGCCGCCTGAGTTGCTGCTTCCAGCTTGCTAGGGAGGCTATATTAAAGAAGACAGTTCAGTTGTTGATAGGGGTAAGGAACAATGGGATTGAGCACAGTACGAGGGACAGGCCATAGACCTGAATGTGGGAATCAAAAGTCCTGGAAGGTGACGCAGGACAGACGGTGACACAGGACAGACTGTGAACTTAGGGTTGGTAAAAAGGACTTGAAATTATAAAAAGCACAAACCTGGGGCTGGAGAGGTGGTTCAGTGGTTAAGAGCATTGACTGCTCTTCCAGAGGTCCTGAGTTCAAGTTCCAGCAACCACATGGTGGCTCACAACCATCTGATACCCTCTTCTGGTGTGTCTGAAGAGAGCAACAGTGTACTCACATACATTAAATAAATAAATCTTAAAAAAAAAAGAAAGTAGAAAAATAGTATTTTTTTTTTTTTATAAAAAGCACAAACTCTGAAAGGAATGAATCAGGAAGTTGGATTTAGTTAAATAGAAACTTAAATTGTGACTTCCAT